AACTCCCTGGTCCCCCAGCGCTGCCCTCTGGCACCCTGTCTAGCCCTGAGTTTTCAGTTCCGCCCTGCCCGTTCCCCTAACCCTTCCCTGTCCTGAAGCCCTCCCTGAATTCCCAGTTTGGTTTTGGACCCTGGACCCCCATCAGCCGGACCCCAGTACATCTTCCCCCCCGTGTTCACCTGCCAAACCCCCTGTCCTATAGGAAGGCCGCCGGGAGGCGTCCATTGAGGAGGGGGCCCTGTTGTGGTGGCAGCCCGGCTGACGGTGAGTGTCCTGGTTTTTTCTACTTTTTATCAGTTTTTCTGCTTTTTCCCTCGGTTTCCTGTTCTCTGCCCGCCTCTCTGTGTTTTCTCCCCCGTGTGCTCTCTCTCCCTCTGCTCCTGAGCCCAGCCAACTACCTGCACCTGCAACCCATCATCCACCTCGTCAGCCTGCCACACCTGCCAGTAATCAACCTCATCCCAGCCTGTATTTCAACCCCGGTTCTCCACACCATCCTTGCTTGATCGTCGTTGCTCCATACCCGGTGCCATCCCCACGTTCAGGCTTTCATGTTCCTGTTTTTTCACGTTTACCCTGTACCTTGTTGCTGTCTTCCCTAACCTTGTCCCTTGTCTGTTTTCCTCCCAGGTACACTCACCCTCGTCCTCCGTTCGGCTGGGCTCACCCACTGGCCCACTCCTCTTTGGACTTCCCTCACGGCGTCCTCCCTGTTCCCCCGCCTCTCCACGCTTCCTCGGCCCCTGTGTTCCCCTGCTCTCTGGCCCCCTGTCTCCTTGGTTCCCCGTGCCTGTTCTTCCCCGACGTCCTCCTCTCCCTCCAGTCCCTCTCACCCCTTTTTCCTCCAATAAACCTCCTTCCTTCTGAGTGCTGCATTTGGGTCCTCTCTGTCCACACACCACACCCCGTAACAATTTTTCCAGTTTGTGGCTGTTCAAATCAACTATAAACCCATTTGATTGGTCAGACAACGCATCTTACAAACTAGTTCTTTGCAGCATAAGCCCTTACCTTCTCCACATGGAGCTTGTTTCCATTTACCTACACCGCAGAAATGTTAAGGGAGGAGAAGAAAATGGCCCCTAAGCCTTAAGCCCTGAACCCTCACAGACTTTACTGACGTCACTCGACAGAGCGCAAGAGGCTGTAAGGGCTCAAAATGCACAAATCTGTCCAAAACAACGCCGTTGTCAGAGACCCACCTTCAAAAAAGTTATTAGCAAGCATGTAAGGAGCCTAGCCAATAAGGATGGCTAAGGTAACGTTAGAATACAGCTGTCGAAGTTAGCACGCTGTACATAGCTGGTACTCAGTAGGTGCACTTGAGATGAGTTAGGTGAGCTGCAGGCGACTTTAAACAGCGCCGTCAAGTCAGCCATAATCTGCCTCCGGTAGGCTTTGTGAGCTTACTGTGAGCTTAGAACAATGATCAGGCAAAAAGGTGTTTCACACTTTGTGCAGCCAGAGAAAAGCAACTGCGTGCACCGGTGTTTTGCCAAATTCTGCATGCCTGCGGAGAATTGCACGCACCTCGCGTGTGGTAACGCTCTTACGCTGAGAAAAGAGGTGGAAAGCAAATCTCGGCAGGTAGCCTACAACATCTGTTCTGCAGAATTATGCATCCATCTGTTTAGGACCTTTTCAGACACTTTGCTGTGCTCATTGTTTAAATGTTTAAGTCGTTGCTAAATCTCAAGGAATGCATACTTCTGCTAATTGTAATAAAATATTAACGACTCTAAACGTTCATGAAATATATACATTTATCACCACTGATGAACCCCACAAACGATTTTATAGTGTTTAAAAGCAGTAGATCTATTTGGAAGTGCATGCATTTCTCACCAGGCATGCAAAATTCGGGATAACACCTGACTCGGCGCCTGCCACTGCTTTGCTCCCGCCAGGTCATGTCATGTCATGGGGATATGGCATCATAATGACATTTTGCAGCGCTGGTAAAAGTCGACTGCACCCCCCACCCACAGTCATTCTGTGGGAAACACTGTATTAATATTCAAAAGCATAAGTGTAAGCAGTAAACATAAAGTACAGCAGAAGCTGATGGGAATTTCATTAATTCGGCAGATGTTTGTCCATAATCCAAAGTACTGGACACATTCAAATATTGACCTGATGGTGGCGCTACATGCAAAGTCAGAGGATCACTCAAGTCAGTAGGATTCATCCTCTGGGAACCATGAATGTCAGTACAAAAGTTGATGGCAATCCATCAAATATCATTCAAGTCTGGATCAAAGTGGTGGACCAACAGACCCTTAGAGCCACAGCACCAGCATGGCTGATAACAGGACAAATCACACCTTCCGTTATGATCCGGCTGAGTGTCTGTGGGCGTGGCACTCCTGGCACTCTTCCCTAAGCTCCAATCGTCTAATCACCGGTGGCTCGTCTACACGACGGCCAATCCATAATCAAGACCTCCAGTATTTCAACACCGGCTCAACACTCCATTCCTCGCCAGATAGTCTGTTCACATCAGTGGTACACACAGCATGGCCTCACCTTGGATACTGTTATTAAGTCACTTGTTTGCTCTGCTCCTGACTCCTGTCTTTTTTCTCGTCTGTGTCATAGTTTTTGGTTCCTTAGTGAGGAGTTTTCCGTTTGCCTGCTTTGTTCCACGAGCACTCTGTCTCTGCTGCCTGCCTGCCCGCTCTCCACCAGGACATCTTTGTTGCACATTTTTTGAGCCTGTCAATAAAATTTTTTCACTTCTTCTCCAGTTTCAGTGTCCCCTATTGATTCCGCTGTTCCTACTGGCCACCACTGTCATACATTCTTAATGTTGTAAAAACTGAACACCTTTACTGTCCTTAAAGCTTGTTACAAAGGAAGCCACGTCCTGCCGAGAAGTAACATTTACCTTCTGCACTTCGAGAGGTGGAGGCGTTGTCCTTCCACTCCAACTTCTCCAAAATGAGAAATTTCCAACTCTGACGGGGAACAGAGACGACAGAACCTTTGCCTCAATCCTTTCATTTTTTCTTTTCTAACTTTCTCCCCACAAATCTTCAGAGAGGAGCCACAAAAAGGAGGCCGGGGGCTTAATGGTTCACCCCACAGCATTTTCTAAAGTAATGCATCTCCATCTCCTGCTGGGGAACGACATTTAGGAGTAAAAAGGAAGAGAGGGCTTTAAACATTCACCACCTCTGGGTTTTCCCCCCAAATCAGGTCATCCCTTCGCCCACTGAAGACAGTAGAAGACAAACTTTTACACCTCTGCTCTCCTTGTTACTGAAACACTTTCAGAAAAGAGAGACAGAAAATCAGGTCATCTTATCTCTAACTAAAGACCGAAGATGACAATTAAACTTCTCTTTAAACATCTTCACAGGGAACTGAGAGGGACTGAAATGGAGGTGAAGAATTCAAGCTTTCAGCCTCCTCTGCATGTTTTTAAAAGGAGGACTAAGACAAAGACGAGACTGAGGCGTCACAACCTTCAACTTACAAAAGAGTCTTCGATTTCAAAATGCCCTTTTCTCTCGTCTTTATTCTGTTCTCCAGGAGACAGACTGGAGGTGACGTGCAGAGTTTGCCTTTAGAAAAGAGATATTTAAACTTAAAAAGTGTGTTTATTCAGGTTAAATGATGTTTAAAGAAAAGATTTACGTAAGTAGCCAGTCAGAGTGGCTAGCGCTCTCATTAACAGGAGACATACAGGTTTAAAGGTCTCACACACACTCAAAAGATGTCTTCCTTCTTTCAGTAGATGGCTAAATAACTTTTAACCCCATATCCGGATGGGTCAAAAACTGTTTCTCCCCTGTGAAACAAAAAGTCAACATGGACGGCTGTGGCTCAGGATGTAGAGCGGGTTGTGGTTCAGTCCCCGGCTCCTCCAGTTTGCATGTCCTTGGGCCCCAAATTGCCCCTGGTGGCTGTTTGAATATGAACGTGTGTGAATGTTGGAGCTTGGTGAATGCGATGTAGTGTAAAAGCGCTTTGATTGGTCGCAAAGATTAGAAAGACGCTACACAAATACGAAGCATTTACATTTAAAATTGATTCTAGTTATGTAAGTTACGTAATGTAAGTCACAGTAACAGGTTATTTAAACCCAAACCATGACATCTTCCTGAACTTCACTAAGAAGTTTTGTTGCCTAACCAAACTGAGACGTTTCACAACATTAACCACTAGTTTTATTTTGAAAACTGGACGTTGCATATGTATTGGTGCTAACTGTCCAGTGAAGCCCTGCACGTGCAAAAACAACGCTAAAGGGCACCCAGGGCGTTAAAAAGCGAAGCCAAGGCTCTTTATGACAAGTTGGGAATGAGAATGACAATTGACAATTCAGTAGTCGCTGGATATTGGTAAAGACATGTCCCTACTAAATTCTACGGCCTTTACTGGACGTATGCCTGCAGGAATTAGTAACATCACAACTGTTTAGGAGCCAGTCGTGGTCCAGTATGCAACATTCAGCTTGATAATGGGAACTTAAAGCCTCCAGGTCACAAACACAGATCTATACAGATGTAGACAGCTGGAGGCATTCAAGGACTCTTAGCTTTGCTCACTATGCTAACATTACTTGTAAATAATCAGAGCCAGCGGAGAGCGTTACCCATGATCCTGGGGCGAGTTCAATCTCAAAACGTTTTGCATCGGTTTACAACATTTCGGACTGAACGACATTTCCTTGCAACGTTGCGCAACGTTCTGCTTCGGGCTTTGAAGTATGTTTTCTCCTGTTTGGTGGGTGTGTCACAGGTGTTACCCAATCAGCTGTGACAAGCAAACACAACGGTGTTAAAAAGGCAGGAAAATTCAGTGCGCTTGTGTACACAGCAGGGTGTTCAGGGAACCACCGTTTCCGTTGAAAAAATTGTTTTGCTATGTTTTGTCTGCGCTGAACTCAGCCCTGGTTTTGCACATCATTGTGGCCCCTTGAGAGTCTTCTAAAGCCAGGCTGATGTTGACGCTATGTCATGTTTAGTCTGATTGTATTTTGCTTCGTTTGGTACCTTTGTATCCCTGCTCGGCCTCCCGCAGGTCGATCTTGGTTATCGGTCTGAAGTCAACGTCCCACAGCCGGACACAGCCGTCTCTGCCTCCTGTGGCAAAACCCTCCTCACAGGAATACATGCTGAAGATACCAGCCTGTGCACACACACACACACACACACACGTATGTTCACACAGCTATCATCTACGCCAATGTTTTTACCAATTTGGGTTGTTAATGGATGGTACCCAAGCTAATATTTTTGGATCAAAGCTTTGTTTTTCTTATTCTTTTAGTAAATTTACTCCATATTCATGTATACCTCCAGTGTTTTAAAATTCAAAAACATGTGTGACATTTCCGAGGATTCAATTCCTAGTTTGATCTGATCAATTTTGAAGATCTGCTGTCTTTCTAGGGCTGGACAATATAGGTCAAAAATGTTATCATGATATCTTCAGATATCGATAATTATCACGATAAGTATCAAATTGTTATTTCTTTTGTGTTTAAAGGCTGATTTTTGCTCCTGAGTGAAAGTTGAAGAAACCAGATGGTTAATTGTGGTTTAACTCTTCTTTATAGTCAACTCTTGATGCCAAACACTGGATCACTTCACAAATCTGAGGAAGACCTTTCAAAACAATTATGATAAATTCTTTGTCAACAAATTTGGACTAGTAAAATTAAGTAAAAGCTTTTTTCAGTCCTTTTTACCCAACAAATTTATAGAATATTTACTGAACATTTGTTATATTGTTATTGAAAAAAATAATATATCGTTATAATTATTGTTATTGTTTCATTGTCCTATGTCTTTCTGTTTTGTCCTATGTGACAGTAAATCATTTCTTATGGGGATTGGACCAAACAAAATAAAAACATGTACATTAACAGAAAAACTCTGATATTGCTGAAACATAGCAGACAAGATAAGGAAAATATGACTTAAAATAAAAACAATCAGTCAGCAGGTAAGAGACTCACCCCATGGGCAGACTGAACTGTTTTTATCAGGTTGAGTCCCTTCCAGACGTAAATGTCCCCGTTGAGCGCCCCGGAGTATGTGATATCATCTTTGGCTGAGGCGACGCACAGGATGGTCTGCAAGTCACCCGTCTTCCCGAAAATCCCCCGCTTTGGAGTGAGAGAGTTACCACACAGAGACCAGAACTACAAAGAGAGACGGCACACATGAGCCTTTTCAGATTAGAATACGTAACATTGCGAGGCTCATCTATCTGTCAAAGTGACAACTTCTTGTTTTTCAGAAAAAAAAGACTTTTACGTTGATGTTCCTCACAGCGCAATGATTTGTGGCACCTGGTGCTCGAGATGGAGGAGAGAGAGAGCAGAAATAAGTTAAGCGAGTTGTAATTTAAAGATAAGTAATAGAGGAAGAAGAACCTTTTGCATCAAATCTGATTGATTTTAAAACGTATTTTGCTGATCTTTCTTTTCCAAATATCTATGGATTGTGAGCACACGTGCATATGGAAAAAACATGGTGAAACACAACCAAAACAGCATCGTAAAAATATCGTAGTGGCCCGAATGCAAGGCAATGTGTTGATCTAGAAGGTTTTCCAGATAGTACGTTTGAAACTCTGAAGCCCAGCGTATTATATTCTATGACGAGACAATTACACATTATTCACAACACCATGTAGATATTCTTTTTTAATAGGAAAGAGGGCATTGTGGATTGTGTTAAGCCGTATTATTGCCAGGCAAGCGACTTTCTAAAAGTGTGTTTATAGAGTAGTGTATAGTGCATAAAGCTACTCGGCCTACAAAGTGTTTAACTCATGTAGTCCAACCTGTGGCAGTGTCTGAAGGCTTGCTGCCAGCGAGGAATAAATTCCTGATGAGTGATGATGTAAAAACCAGTCAGAAATGTCTCCCCCTGACATCTTTACTGCAGAAACAAACCTGAGACTGATATTTAAACAGCCATAGATGATGAAGAGGCTGTCTACAAGCAGCACACACTGGCACTGGCATCTTGATTCTGGCTAAATCTACATCTGTCAACAGCAGAAACACTATGCACAACCTGGATGAGTAGTACATTTTAAAGGCGTATTATGTAGTTTCCAGTGGCCACTAGCGGTGCGGTTTTAAGATTGCAACCAGGCGTGTGCTCGTACGCGTGCTCGCTTGAACTCATGAGCGAGCATAATCCGAAACACAACCGCTTTCATACAGAAATCCCGCAATAAACGCAGAAACACCAGCATGCAGGCTGTGGCTTTTCACACAGACATGTTCAGGCTCTGTTATTTCAACGTTCTCGGCTCAGAGGCAGCTCAACACTAGCTCCGTACCTTTCATTCAGCGCAGCAAGACACCGGTATATTGGCACAGTACTCCAGAAAAAACGCAGAGTGAGAGCGGCTATAGACAGGCAGGGAGATGGCTTCACACAACATGGTGGAAACTCAGGTAAACTCCCACTGCAACGTTACAGTAATGTTTTTATCAGCTTGAGGTTGAACTAATCTGATCCATGCGCGTTATCATGTAACGCGCATAGATCAGTGTTGTTGTCGCTGTGTACCTGAGTATCGGTAAAATCACAATAAATCTAAACTGAACGTTACAAAGCCAACAGCGGCAGGTCCCAGCTAATATAGCGTTAGCTCGCTGCTCTGCCTGCATCACCATAAGCTAGTAAACAAATCGTTCCACATTTTCACCGTTGCATAATTTCTTACAGGCTAAATCAATAATTTGAAATACTACCAGTGGTACACAGAATATATAGGTCGTTAGTTAGTTGGTGAAGTGATAACGTTACAACTTTGCACCAGATAACGTTAGCAACTGCTCGGTGTTAGCCTGCGAGCTAACGTGACTTTCTCTGTGTTTCTCCAGCTTTACTAATGCTCACTGTGTTCTTACTTGATATCATCTGAACCTGTTTGGTCTTCAGCACATAAGCCTTTATTGTTGTTTTGTATCCTTACATAGAGCCTGTGTTTTGCTGTGAGCCGGTTGTTTTATGGTGTTAGTGGACTGCATGTCGTTAGCTGCTGTGTTGGCGCTGTAGCACAAGAGAGGCTCGGGAGCGCGCACAGGGCTGAATCTGACCCAGAGACCTCACATTAATAAAAGCAGTATAGTGGCTGATGCAACAACAGAGAAAACAGGCGTGTGCTTCATTTCTAAGTGGGTTTTGAGCCCATTGACAATAAGGCAATGAAAATTTGATTTATTTATAATTAATTTCATTGACAAACATATAGCTATACATTAATACTTTTTGTTGGTTTTCTTCATTCATTAAATCCTATAAATCCTATAAGATAATGCTCTACATAGTGGTTAGTCTCTAATGTGTTAATGATAAGTACTAACTCATAACCATTCATGCATCAACCTTGTTTTAGTGTCCCGGTCCATCCAGGCTGTGATTGGTCAGTTTACGAAAAGTGACATTGACCACTGCAACAACTTTATATAAAGTTGAATATGTTTCAACAAAAGGTTCCTGATAAGGTTCCCTAAGCTCCTTATATTCACGTTAGAATCCCCGGATACTTTCTGTTCTGTCTACTTTATGTCACACAAGCGATCAGCAGCTGGTAGGATTTTACTTTTGAAGCTTTGTGGTGTCGTCATCATCGGACTCTGTTCGTGTTCTCTTTCTACCTTTTGCAGCCAGGCCTTTTAAGGTTCATGTTAGCCTAGCCGCCAACAGAGAAAAGCAGGCAAGCGAGAGCGGAAACGTGAGCATAACGTAGCGCCCCCTGGGTAATACAGTTTATTTAGGGCCATTATGAATCGCCCAGAGAACCTGATATGGAGAGGACAGAAAAGAGTCCCGGCAGCTTGTGAGAAGTGACGGCATGCAAGATAAAGTCACAGTAAACCACAGAGAAAAATATAGAAGTATCGGGCCACTTCCAGCACTGCACACGTGATATTCACATTCTGCTTTAATGGAAGTTTTACTTCACGTTGTCTATTATTCGGTTAAGTACAGTGGATTTCTTTTGCAATTGAGCGTATTACATGACAACTTGAACCATGAGAAACGTAAGAATCAACATCCCTAGTGTGTTTACTAATTTGTGTTATTACCTTGATGTGTTTGACTCCACAGCTCACTAGGCGGTTCTGTTGAAACAAATCCCAGCAGATATCGAAGATCTGGAGGGAAGAAGAGAAGTTGGCATACACATGCACTTTACGTAGCCCAACACACACACACACACTCAATCTGTCTCTTTCTCTCACCCTGTCTGAGTGTCCGGTGGCTGTAGCCAGGATCTTCCCTCTCTTCCACTCCCAGATGCATACTGTGTTTTTGGCATCCAGGCCGACCGAGGCTAACCGCTACAGACCAGAGAGAGAAACGATTACTATTATAAATGGAAAGACCCATCAAAACATGAATATAAAAAGGCTATTTTCTACAGTAGAACAGATATACATTAGGATTTTTTTTATTCCTTTGGGAAGTCACTATGGTAATGAAGAGCATAACCAAGTGCTTTGAGCTGCTTAAACAGATCCATAAAAATTTAATCATGCACAAGTTGCTGCAAGTGGATACAGAAATAAATATTAAAGTTCAGTCAGGACCACTTTAATCAAACAAACTTTCATTTAATCTGCAGTAAGTCATGTTTTGCAGTATGTTTCTGTTCTGGGACATCTCTGCCCTCTACGTGCGTACTTGAAATACCTAAGAGAGAGAGCAACAGCAAAGATCATCCCAGAACAGTTCAGGCATCAATGACAACAGAAATGACATTGATTAGTCAGAAACAGCAGCAGAGGAACACCCGGTGACAAACTGCTGGAAACTGAAGTCTAGCTCGAGGACAGTTCTCGTTCTGAAATCTCGTGAGAGGCGAGTTGTTGCAGGAAACGCCGCTGGAAACGAGGGAGAGGAGTTTGTTGTGTATGTAAAGGAGCTGCTAGCAAGACTTTTAATTCCAAACGTTACTCCAACACAACAAACTCCTCTCTCCAACTCTGACTCAAGTTTCCACCAGCGTCTTCCTGCAACAACTCGCTGACTCTCATGAGCTTTCAGAAGGAGAATTGTCCTTGATTATCTGTTTTTTTAGATTGATGTTGGTGGCAAAAAGAAGCACTTTTTGTGGATTTAATGATGAAGGCAATTGCCTCGAAGGAATAAGCTGCAGCCGCTGCCGGCTGAAGCCATCTACTGCACGGATTCCAAAACTTTTTGTAGCTGGGATTGTGGGCTGAGTTTGATTTTGTTGCCTCCCTTAACTAACGCTTTGCTAGATTTTCCTTGTTATGTTAATAAAAAATGCAATCCACATTACATTAAATTTTCTGCAAAGCCCAATTGCACTGTAAAAACAAAAAGGCAACAAACTTCAATCCACTTTTGGGTTTGGTGGTTTAAATATTATCTTCTTTTAGTTTAGGCTTCAACTTTTGTATCCACAGATCATGGATCAGAAATGAGCTTCGATGTCATCTTTTTCCTGTCCCGTCCTGTTCCTGATAAAAAAAAATCTTAAAATAGTGTTTATTTATAGTAGAACTGCATATTCATCTATAACAACTGCTCCTGTTGACTTTTATTCCAGCCCCATCCCAGTCCCGTGATGAATAGTGAAACTGACTGAATCCATCCTCTTCCACAACTCCCATGTTATTTTTTATTTCAGATGGCATTCTGTTGAATAAGATCAAGTTAACAGCATGTTCTGCATCTTCTTTTCTCACGTGAAGTCAAAGTCGGACCAAATCAGAACTTTTGTGGCTGATGCTCACCTTTGAATCTGAATTTTCTGAACGGCAGCAGTGCAGCAGTGGTATGGAAAACATCACATAAAGTGTTCCAGGTTAAGAAGAATATTCGGACTCCGACTTAATAATAAATCAGCTGCACCAAAGCCCTTGATTTATTATTAAGTTGGATTTATGATTATTTTATAGATTCTGTGTTGACTCTGATTTACTCAGAGTTGTTAAGTCATGGTGACTGAAGTCCCGGCCAGCAACAAAAACTGCCGACACAACAGGATGGATCATTTACAGAGTCACTTCACCACTTAGTCTGATTTTCTTTCATTTGTTTTTAACAGTTGGGCAGAAAGGAATAAGTCCTGAGAATCATCAATAAACAAAACTCCATGTATTTTACTTCCAACTCTCTAGCACAGCAATGACCCCAACAGTCATTTCAAATCTGCTTTTGCATATTCTGCAAATACTGATGTAAAGTTCACTTTGCTGAAGCTAATTTTGTTGGATAACTTTGAATACGATTTTTATGCTAACAAAAGCTAAATAAGAGATAAGTTGCTAATGGCTGTAATCAGCCACACATTTGGTGGTCATGTTTAAATCCAACCAATCTCAAAACAGGAAATAAACGGTGGTGTCCCGTGTTCAAGTCTGACGTTTTGTGACTTTGTTGCTCTATAAAAACATCACCTGACTTCCTCCTTTGTTCCCGTCATAATTGCTTTGGCTGTCAGCGGGCTCAGTCACTTGAACGTTAACATTTGTCGTATTTGATTAACTTGCTGATGACTGATGCTGTGGGTTTTTTCTCAGGAGGACCGACTTGTTTGTATAAGTGAAGTTGTATGTGAATGTAACAGGAGGATTTGAACACACAAGGCTTTGCCAGACAAGATTTACAGTCGGGGAATTTAGCTGACAGAGCAACTTACAATGAAAAGATGGAGAAATCTCCTGGATACCTACATTAAAAGGAGGAAGGAGGATAAATCCACAAAGAATGCACAGGCAGGAGGAAAGCCAAAACAGCAGCAGAAACATATGAGCTCACTGGCTTTCCTTGTGAAATGCACCGAGCCCCAGAAGTATTATAAGCTGACCATTATACACTGTAAGCCTTGTATTAAATGCCGTGTACCACATATTCAGAATATTCTGCATTTTCTTTAGGCTGCTATTCACTGTGAATGGGACCTGGCGTTGCAGCCCGGTGTCACCCGCTGAGATTTAAAAGGAGCCCAGCGGCACTACAGGGGAAAGTTGAGAAAAACTCATGCTAACGTCCTCTTACAAAGTGTGAGTGACAACTAGGCGAGAGCCAATCAAGCTTGTTTGCATGCAGAAACAGATGCACCGATTTGTTTACTACTAAGTGCAGTTACACGACTCTGGGTGCAATCTATAATGTTTTGGGGCTTCCAGTGTTGCTGTTATCTGGATATCCGGGCCAAGACAGATATCTGTTTATACAGATTACAGGACTGCAGTGCCAGTCGTGTTGCCAGCTCAGCCTTTATTGTCGTATTAAAACAGTTTCAATAACGCATACTGCAAACAAAGCTATTCTGTATTTGAAGAAACTGTTCAACAGGAAATGAGCATTTAAATTACATGTTCAGCACAACTCACACAGCGAGCTTCACGAGAGGCCAAAGACCGACAACTACTTTGTATTTGTGTGTGTGAAGGCAGCTGAAAACACTGAGAGACTCAGGAAAACTCATTTACTCAGAGTGCCGCCCACTCACAGCCAGAGTCGACTTGTTTATATACCGCTCTCTGATGACTGAACTGTGTTTCATTTTCACAGGTTGACTGACGTGGGAGAAACGTGGGAGATGGAGGGAGTGGTTTCTTGGTGATCAGTAGATTGAACACCTGTCTAAAAACAACTGAACTGATGATACATGTTTTGAGTATATGCTGTCTGTCACACTGCTGTCAGATGAGATGCCTCCAGTAAACTCACTGTGACTCAAAGTACGTTCGTTGGATGACGTTTACACCAGATGAACTGAGTCACAGTAGAGAGTCAGTGGGAGGACATGATGGAGCCACACACAATATAAATCAGCCAGAACACTGCAGGTGACTGTGTGATGGAAATATTTGCACAAGCTCAATTTGGTCTGCACAGGCTGCACACACACACACACACACCAATGACTGCTTCAATTTAACCAAGTGAATTTACCACATACCAGGGATCTAAGCTCAAATAAAGTTACTTTATACAAATACATTAATACACTACACTAATACTACTTCCTACATTAATCTGATCAGATGACAACTTCACAGACAGCAAAGTAACAATTAAATTACCTGACAGTGCAAACACAACATTAAAAACTGTTATTTTTTTCCTTAGGTTTGTTTGTACTACACTGACCCCATATCTTACCCTGCCAATTAAACACACTAATAATTCTCATTATATCCTGTTTTACATTGCTATATTAAAACGCACAGCTAGTGGCCGTTCAGGTACACCGGGCATGTGTGTGCTGGTGTAAACATGAAGCAGATGGTCTACTCCATAGTTACAGAAGATCTGGCGAAAGAATAAAGTGCTACAGACGAAGAACCGCACCAGATTTATTTTGCATGGACCAATAACGAGCTGGGACTGAATGTAACACGGGAGTTAAAATCGGCTTTGGCGGCAGAAAACAGACTGGGAGTCGTTGCAAAGTAAACAGCAACATACACAGTACAAGTGTAGGCTATAAGTGTTTGTTTGCACGGCACAAAATATTTTAATAAAAGTACCAAATCAAAATCTCTGTCAGTAGCATCCTGTTTCTACTTTGCATGACTTATTAGACCCAATCAGAAAGCCAAACGTGAGCGTCTGTGCCATCATTTCTAAAGTCCTCCGTTTTTGCCCGTCCGCACGAAAACGCTCTCCAGTGTTTTAAAACGAAAAACGGGGCCGGCAGCGTTTCCAAACTTCTCCGTTTTAGGTCTTCATTTTCGCCATTTTAGTCTGGACGGGAGGTGCAAACGTAGCAAAAGGTCCCCGTTTTAAAATGAAAACGCAGTAGTGTGGACGGGACTCCAGTCTTTCACTCTGCCCAACACCATGCTACTAGTGATGTGCGGATCGATCCTAAATTATCGATATTTCTGATATCAACGTTTCCTGCTCTAGGATTGATACTCATATAAAAGGATCAATATCTAAACTCAGTCATTTGAAGTGAGTGTGTGTTTTATCATAAGTATCTCAATGTCACCAGGATGGTCTAATTTTAGGCTACTCGGTTGATAGGAACTACTTCTCCTTCCGCCTGTCAAAGTCATGCTCGCGCTACAGCTCTGTGACGGAGCTTCTTTGAAGTGAGCCGCTTTTACATTTCCCGCGACTGAATACTGACTCTGGCCGACTGTAAAGTCACGTCTGGCTGTATTTTAGCTGTGAAGGTAATAATGACGCTGTGTGTGATGTGTGTGCAAAGACAGTGACATACTTTGGCAACACCGCTAACTTCGCTAAACATCTGAGATTAAGTCAAAATAATATGATGATGTTATAAAGCGGCGGTTCTGAGCAGAATATTTTTATTAAAGAATATGACAGTAGTGTGATGTCTATCGTTACGCAGCTATTATTTTGAATTGGTAAGGCTACAGCCTGCCCCTTATTTCTCTCATAAGGGAGGTAACATTAAACTAGAAATAAAATATGTTAAAAAAATTGGTATCGGCAATACCAGCCTGGGTATTACTTGGTATTGGATCGTATAGGAATTAAGTGGTGTTGCACATCACTACATACTACTCTTTGTAACACCCTCACCACCATCTAACTCTACTTAACCTTACACCCTGTGTTACAACCTTGACATGCTAACACTGATAAACTTATTATAAATTGAAGTTACTGAACCAAAGTGATGAATAACGATCATCATCATTCCACTTTGTCCTTTCCCGTCACTGGTTCTCTCCCTTTCATTCCCCTCTTCTGTCCTGCTCTCACTGTGTCTGTAAAGCACTATTATTCTATGAACTTTCGGTTGATGCACGAGTGTCCTTTAATGACAAAAACCATCTGTTGGTCTGCTGGTTGAATCATTTTACGCATCATTAATCACGTGTAATTTATGTGTGTGTGTGTCACTATAAACATGAAACTTGTGTGCGTGTGTGTGTCTCACCTGTCCGTCCGCGCTGAATGCGAGGCAGGCGATGCCGTGTGTGTGTCCGTCACGGAGCAGAGAGACGGTCTGGACGGTGAAGGAGTCCCAAACACACACATAGGGATCCTTCCCCACCTGACCGGTCGCCACAAGGGAGCGCTCCGGGTGCAACGCCAGGCTGTCGGGGGAGGAGAGGAAGGTCAAAGAAGCAGACAGAGGAGTGGAGGGGGCGTAGAGAGGAGGGGGCGAGGTAGAGACAGAAGGTAGAGGGGGAGAAAAGGGAGGATAAAAAGAGATAACAGACTTCAATAAAAAAAATAAACATTTAACATCTCTTGCATTTGATTAGGTGAGGATTTCTGACCAATCAGAGGACTTCCTTCATTAACCCAAGTTACAAGTAAAAGTCCTGCATTCAAAGTACAAACATACCATCGGTACTTAAAGTATCAGAAGCACAAGTACTCTGAGTACTAAACTAAGTTTAGTCCAGTGGTTATCAACCTAGGGGTCAGGGCCCTCCAAAGGGTCACCAGATAAATCTTAGTGGTTGTGAGATGATTCACTGGAGAATATACTTTTTCTTTAGAATCTTTAATTTTCTTTTGTAAAATATTGGATCAATAGTTTTTGAGATGAAACTGATAACAACTCAGAGATGCAACTACACGCTGATTTAAGGGGTTTCGTATCGTATTTTATACGTTTATCAGTGGCATGTTTTTAACTTAGAAGTATTCAGATAATAAGTAAAAGCAATATTGCAAATTAAAAATACTACAGTGAGTAGTAATTTTAAAAATACACTTATTTATAAACCTATGTTCTCTCCTTTTTTATCCCTCTCTCTTTATGAGAGTCAAATAGACTGCTATAAATACACTCACTGCTTAATGGCATCATTATCAACACACACACACACACACACACACACGCACACACACAGAGTGTCTCTGCTCTGTTGATCGGGTAATGACCCTGATGCTAGAAATGTGTGTGTGTGACCTTGGCTTTTCTCTCTCTTACTTCAATCTGATATTTATTTATTTATTTAACAGGGACAATGCACAATATATGTACTGTACCAGATTTAGCTAAAAGCTAATTCCCATCTGCAGTCCCTGGGCAGGTGCCAATAGTGTGCAAAATATTACCAAAATAATAAAATATAACACTAATCCCAAAACCAAACCTTACATTTCATAAATATATAGATAAATGCCAACCAGTTCAAATAAGCCACATCTAACCAACTAAAAAACGACTGAAATATACCAAACCTCCCAAAACCATAATAAACACAACATCGACAATCCAAATACAAAAATAAACAAACTGTCATTACGAGAATTTTACCTTATCTATATTAACAGATGTAAATCTGTCCTTTTGTATTCCTACGTCTGGTGTTTGAGAGACAGAAACAGAAAGTAAAAGAGAAAAGTCACAGAAAAGTGTACTGTGTGTGTGTGTGTGTGTGTGTGTGTGTGTGTGTGTGTGTGTGTGCGTTAGGAGTCAGGAAAGGTCTGTTGCTGGCAAAAGTGTGGAAAGAAACTGTGTGGAAAATAAAATAGAACAAAAATAGAACAGGTGTGTCAGCCACAAAGGCCCATTGATCTCAGGGATGCTGTCTACTCTGCACATGCACACACACACATGCACACACACATGCACACACACACATGCACACACACACACAGGCACACACACACACCCTTCGACATCGACTCTCCTCCTCAACCTGCCAGCCAATGAGCCTGCTAGCTGCAGTGGTTGCCATGACGATTACATCGCCAAGGGCACGGGAGCTGAGGATTGAGAACGACAACTGTGGAGTCAAGGTCAAACATCACGAAACACACAAGTGCACACACACACCTGAACACAAGCACACACACACGTGCGCACTTCCTTTAGTGTGTATGTTTATTAAGCATCGCTGAACGATACAAGTTCATGTTTTGTTTTGTTTTTTCACGTGATGTTGTGTTTGTTTGGTGAAAATGAAATGATGTGTGTGTGTTTGTCCTCCACTCTGATGGCTTTCAGTGTCTCCATAAGTCACTCTCCCTCCTACACAGACATGACTTCCATCTTCACATTTATTTCTTTTTCCTGCAAACATTTTTCCTTCGACAGACAGTTAAACAAACCGTAAGGTCTGGTTTCTTGTTAGAGTTTGTTCTTGTTTTAGAATTAACAATATTCTTCATTCTTCTTCTCTATTGTGTATTTATCTGTTGATAAAGTTGTATTGAATTGAAAATATGTTTAAATATATATATATATATGTATTTGGAATATGTGGAATTGGTAATAAATGCATTCATGGATTTTGATAAATATCTATAATACAATCTAAAAGTAATACACAGGATAATGTGGCTGCATGAAAGATAAAAACAAAAAATTGTACTGTTTATTTTTATTTAAAATGTTGTTTTATTACTGATAATACTGTATTTGTTTCCGTATGCTATGCTTGATTTTGAAGTGATTTTCCATCTTGTGGTTTAGAAGTAAAATTAATTTCACAGGCAGTAGAGCTGATAGTAGTTCTGCCAGCAGGCTTGTACTAAAAGCAGCCGTGGTGCTACTATGGCTCATGGTGGCGCTAAAGGGAAAGTCAGGGGATCATCCAAGTCATTAGGATACTTTAGGTGTGTTTGACTTAAAGCAGGACTTAACATAAGGAATACTGGTTAGAAATTGTGTCCGACTTTCGCCGGCCCTGCAGAACGTCACCATGTCACATGACATGCGGGAGCAAGGTGGCTGCAGGCGCTGAGTCCAGTGACCACAGTTGCTTTTCTAATGCTGCACAAAGTTGGAACGACCTTTTGACTAATCTCCCAGCATTTGTCTTTGCAAAAGCCGCGAGATCAGTCATTATTCTAAGCTCATGGTAAGCTCAGGCAGGTTGAATGTACCTGACTTGACGGCACGTTTTTTTATACCCCGCCCCACCAGTTGCCTGCAGCTCAAGTTTGACTATCAAGTTGGCGAAAGTCAGCAGCAGTCATCTCCAACGCACCTATTGTCTGGGAACCAAGAATGACTATACTAAATTTAGTGCTCATCCAGACGTGCCTCCTCATGGGAGCGGGGGAGAGTTGTAAGTCGGGCACGAAGGGCAAAGAGACTATGTGAGGTGAAAGGCACAGGTGCAGGCAGGTGTTTAAGAAACAACAGCAAGTTAGTCACTGTGGTTTGTCTGCGATTTCCACCTCCTTCTCTGAGTCATGACTGATATGCATGATACCCATATTTACGTCAATAAATGTGCTTAAAATTCATAGAAAGTAGACGTTCCTTAGGACCTCAGAACTTCTGTATCAAAGCCAAAAAGGTACTGCTAACAGCTAAATCTGCATACTAATGCTGCCAATTTGCCAAAACAGATATAGACTACACACCTTTTCCTCCATTTTCGTCTATTGGTTTGATCCCGTTTGATTTCTTGTTCTACCTCTTGGTTCTCTATTCTCCTCCTTTTCGTTAACTCTACTCTCTGTCTTTCTAATCTTCTCCTTTCTGAGGCTGACAACTCATCCTTTTTTCTTCTCTTTTCCTCTTCACTTTTCTCGTTTCTCCTCTGATCTCCTCTCCTATAATCTCCTATTCTCTCGTCTCCTCTCCTCCCCTATTCTGATGTCTCCTCATCTATCCTGTCATATCCTCTCCTATGCTGTCGTATCCTCTCCTATCCTGTCTTCTCCTCCCCTACTCTGATGTCTCCTCTCCTAACCTGTCGTATCCTCTCCTATTCTGTCGTCTCCTCTCCTATCCTCCTATCCCCTATCTTCTCCTCTCCCCTCATCCTCTCGTCTCCTTTCCTCTCCTCCCCTTTCTCCTCTGTTGTTTCCTCCTCTCCTCTCCCCTCCCCTCCACTAGCTATTTATAGAAGCTGCACTGATTTCAATAGGAGCTAATAATAGGCTGTGTGTGTGCCAACACAGTGTGGAGCAGTGATAATGTGATTTATAAATGATTAACCTGGAGAGAGAGGGAGGGAGAGATATTAGACCTTGGTGTGTATTAGCAGTGACCTGTTTAACATTAAGTAAGGTACGATGAAAAAGACATTACTTGAGGATTAAATATAAGAATTAGATATATTTTATATTGGTAAATATGCAGAGTAGTGTCTGAATCATAAACTTTGTACCTCCAGAAATTTCTGAGAAAATTATAAACACTTTATCTGTATGGGTTACAGACCATCCCACCACAGACCTTCAATGAATGTTCAAAAGGTTTCAAAAATAAAACTATATTTTATTTTAGTGGTTCAGTGGCTTAAATTTAATCATTCCTGAGTTGCCATGCATCAAGATTGTATACAGAAATAAATGTTAAACTGTTTTTAAAACATCACGTCAGTGAATTTATTCAGGGATTTGTGGAATCTACATATATCAACGTTTCCACATTACTACTGACAGACTTTACTTTTGAAAGGTGGCCGGTGTAGACGAGGCTGTAAAGGCTGCGACGTGCTTCTCGGGGCCGCAGGCAGGTGAATGTTTGTCCTTCAGACTTGGCCTCAAGTAACTCCAACAACCACAACGACTGTCACTACAACAGCCAGCAGCACTAACAAACCAAGCAGTATCCAACACCTTGAAAAAGACCCCACAGAGGTTAAAAGACTGGGATTTCATAGTAGCCAGTCAGCACTGAAGAAGCCTCTTGGATGAGTGGCGAAACATCTTCAAGTATCTTCAAGCAAGTCCAGTTGCCCTTGATTTTGACCCTCCTTGGATAACTATGATCTGGACAACTGAGAATCTTCACACACATCTACATGTTTTTTCTTCTCCATTCAAATCTGACTCTCGACACTCAGATCCACATGATGTGATTATGATATCTTAGAGGTGTGCTCATCACCTCCTCTGTGACCTACAGATATCCATAACACCCTTTTCTGCAAAGGTTTGCAGAGTTGTGTACGTGTACCTTTGCAGAGTCATAATTCCAGTTTAAGACATTTTGTGGCACCATATCAACGCCACACTACATCTGCTTTTGCTGCCGAAAAATTGTTGTCGGGAAATCGAACACATGGGATGTTTTAAGCAAATGACAGACGCTGTGTTCTGTCTTTATCAGTTGGGAGGTGTTTAAACATCATAATCTGAGTTTTTTCTACCTGAAAGTGATGCTACATATTGT